GGGTTTTAATTATGTTTTCTGTTGGGGAGGAAGTCATATTGTATTTCCTACGTTTTCTTCCTTTTCTCTTTTTTTCTTCTTTCCAGCAATTACAATTATGTGCTAATTCTTTATTCCTGGGTTGATTGTCTTAAAACTGGAGAACATATACCTCGGTACAATATGCCTACATTTTTTTTTTAATATCGGCTTCTTTTTCGATTTTGGGTGTCAAAGATCAAATATTACAAATCACATACTCTTGGCTGCAGTTCCCATATTGTTCCATCAATTCACATGACTTGACAGAGAGGCACCTTGCGACAACCCCTGCGGGCTAAAGGAGAATGATTTGAGATTTTTGCTGCGATTTTTTGTTTCTTTTTGTTTGACAAGGGTCAATGGGAAATAAAATTTGCAATAAATCTTGATATATTGTCTACATATGTAAACGTATTAATAGTGCTTTGATCAACACAATTCAAATATTGTATATAATATGTCGAATAATAGGCCTTACTCGCCTAAAAAATACCTCTCAAGTTTTTATCAACGTGAGTAACTTTATTTTATTTACGCAGAAACTGACTGTTCTATGTATTATAAGGCTCAAATTCAATATGCTCTCATACTTCTTTCTTACAAGTGTCTATCTTGTGTTAAGTGTCTATCTCTCTGAAGTATATTTGCTGTAGTTTATGCCCCTTCCCTGAATATTATTCTCTCTTGAAATATGTCGTTTTCTGTAGATCTTATGGAATAAGATGAATGGGGGGGCATATTGCATTCGCTTAAGAATGCTGGTCTTTCTAGTTATCTTCATTTCTAAAATATATTACTCTGAGGTCATTCTGTTTATCCACAGGATTTATAACTGTGTCCGCTCGTAGATTTTTATGTAAAATCCTTTACAATCCTATGATGTACTGTAGAGGGAATAGGGACTCAAAGGCTAGATTACATCACTCACGGATTCTTTTTCTTTTCCCTAAAATTAGATATTTTAGTAAATAAAAGAAAAATTCACAAATGTATTCTTATTTTTGGCCACAATGTATTTTGCTAAGTTATACTCTTTTTATTTACATGATTCATTATTATGTTCTCTTGTCTCTTACTAAAAGGAAGATTGCTTATTATCTTGTCTTTATTTACATGGTTTATTAACTTATCGCTATATAAAGGGTTTGTTACTATATTAAATTCCACTATCTACAGGGTTTGTTACTATATTAACTTCCACTATCTACAGGGTTTGTTACTATATTAACTTCCACTATCTACAGGGTTTATTACTATATTAACTTCCACTATCTACAGGGTTTATTACTCTATTAACTTCCATTATCTATAGGGTTTATTACTATATTAACTTCCACTATATACAGGGTTTATTACTGTATTAACGTCCACTATCTACAGGGTTTATTACTATATTAACTTCCACTATATACAGGGTTTGTTACTATATTAACTTCCACTATCTACAGGGTTTATTACTATATTAACTTCCACTATCTACAGGGTTTGTTACTATATTAACTTCCACTATCTACAGGGTTTATTACTATATTAACTTCCACTATCTACAGGGTTTATTACTATATTAACTTCCACTATCTACAGGGTTTATTACTGTATTAACGTCCACTATCTACAGGGTTTATTACTATATTAACTTCCACTATATACAGGGTTTGTTACTATATTAACTTCCACTATCTACAGGGTTTATTACTATATTAACTTCCACTATCTACAGGGTTTGTTACTATATTAACTTCCACTATCTACAGGGTTTGTTACTATATTAACTTCCACTATCTACAGGGTTTATTGTTATTAATTTATCCCTATTCACGGGGTTTATTACTATGTCAACTTGCCCTTATTTACAGGGTTTATTACTATACTAGCTGTGTACCCGTCCTTCGTACGGGTTGTGTGTATAAATAATACATTAATTTAACAAGTAATTTGTTTGTTAATAATGTACAAGCTGTTATTCTTATGGACAATGTAAAATTTTCAAAACAGTGTTTATTATTTCTATGTTGGAGCTCTATGTTGGAAAGAAAGCAACTCCTGCAAAAATTTGTTGCGTCACTCCAGTTGTCTGTGCTTTATTTTGTTTATGTTTTGGCATTATTTATTGCTTTTAAGGTTATATTTCTTTAAAAGAAGCATTTCTTTGCTAAGGGTCGCTCGCCCGTCCACTCGGCATTGCTCTTTTGCGCTTGCCTCGCGAACTGCGTTCTTTCTTATATTTTTTTCTTTTTTATGAACACTATCCTTGGAGTTTAAAAACTACATGTAGCATGCTCAAGAGTCAGATCTTCTCGCAGCCTATTTATCCAGGTGGACGTACTTCCAATGTCGTCTATCAAGAGGCTCTACGGTAAATATAACTAATTTTTTCACAGATGTGTGATACACTACAAACACACAAGTACAACTCATCACAATTTGACATTTTCCGTTTTTTCTTAGGGATGCAGTTAACACATGGTCCACAGTATCTTTTGTTAACTTATATTTAATTGTTATAATAATGTACAATAAAAAAAATGTAAAATGTAATGTAAATTTGAAGACCCGTGGGGC